GCGTAACGCATTCCCCTTCGGAAAAAAAAGGGGAGTTGGTGATGATTAATAAGATGTGCTGTGATTTCTGATATTCTACGCAACAAAGTAGTGTGTGTTTACGCTTTATCATATTAGTATAGAAGTATAAATTATGCCTAAATCAAGTTACTCGGATGGCAATTAATTTATTTCGCTATAAATATTTTATGATAATAACGGTAGTAATTATGTTTTAAACAAATTCCTTAATCTTTATGAATATGGTAAATATTTATAATAAATACAATGCCCACGTGTTACTCTAATAATATTTTATAATACAACTATATATATAGGTTAACTAACTATAGGTTAGCGTGGTATAGACATGTTATGCGACGAGATGGGGACATAAACCAGAAAGTGTTAATGAATGTGGATGGCTACAAAGGAAGAGGAAGACCGAAGAAAGTATGAATGGATTGTTTGAAAGAGGATATGCTTAAGAAAGGTGTGGATTCAGATATGACGGCTGGTAGAGATGTAGGGAAGAGCAGTACATACTTTGCCGACCCTCCGTAAGGGATAAGGGCAAGTGGATGATGACAACTATATGTTTTGATATTGTCAATAATCTATATCTATACTAATATTATAAGAGGAAAATTGTATTTTTGTATGTTTTTATAATTACCATGCGTATTTTAAAAATTCTTTCACCGTTAGAAAGTTAGTCTATTTGGGAGTACGATAGGCTACATCTTAGTAATATTATAAATGTGAAAGTTTAGATGGATGGATTTGTTAGGTTTTGTAGCCTAAACGGCTTAACGGATATCTATGAGATTTGGCATAATTCTAGAGGATAGTCTGGAAGCACATAGGTTACTGACTATTGTTTTTTTTTAAATTCCGAGCGGGCAGAGTCACAAGCAACAGCTAGTAGTTATATAAGAGTTGATGGTAATATAAATAACACACATAAAAAAATAAAAAACACATACAGACGAATTGAGTACCTCCGTCTTTTGGGAAGTCGTTCAAAAAGAGAGTTCAATCTGAAGATTGAAAGATGGCTACAAAGGTAGAGGAAGACCGAAGAATGTATGGATGGATTGTGTGAGAAAACATGCTTAAAAAGGGACTGAATTTATATATGACGGCTGATAGAGATGTATAGAGCAGTACATACTGTGACGACCCTCCGAAGGGACAAGTATAAGTTAATGATAAGATTTTTTAACTTGACACTAATAACTTTATTAAATCAAGTTCAAATTCTAAATAATAAGTCAATAAAGTATGTATGAACAGATGCTACCATTACCTAACGAAGACATACCTGTAGCTTTCATATGCCAGTAACTGGCATACAAGTGAGCCAGTTACTGGCATATTTTTTTAATTATTACATCTGTGAGCGTCTACAGATGTAACAGTATCACGTTTATCAAATCGCGTATTTTTTTAAATTGTTTTAAAGGTTTTGTTTTACATATCAATGAAGAATAAAACTTGTTATCTCTGATAGGGAAATAATAGTATTTCCTTAATTGTAATATTATACTATAACATAGAGACCTTGGATATCTTCCTACCGGTTTTTATCCTGATTTATATATACTATCTTACTTCTTACTATCTTACTTCTTACCAATATTATAAATGCG